AAAACCTGTAGAATACAACTCCTACAGCCTACAGTACAATACCTACAGCCTACAACACCTGTAGCCTACTACACCTGTAGCCTAGAACACCTGTAGCCTACAACACCTGTAGCTTGAAACACCTGTAGCCTACAGCACCTGCAGCCTACAACAACTGTAGCCTACAACACCTGCAGCCTACAACAACTGTAACCTACAACAACTGTAGCCTACAACACCTGTAGTCTACAGTACAATACCTACAGCTTACAGCACTTGTAGCCTACAGCACCTGTAGCCTACAGCACCCGTAGCCTACAACACACAACAGCCTGCAGCTCCTGTAACCTACAACATATACAGCCAACAACACGTGCAGCCTTCACTACAATACCTACAGCCTGCAACACCTGCTGAACATCGACGCTGACGAACAAATATAAAAACAAATTACAATCATACAAAACAAACAAACGCACCTCAGTGCACAGTGTGTTTGTGTGTGTTCACAAAAACCTGCAGCAAGACACTCGGTCAGATTAAAAGAAAACACCAGAATTGGTTTGATGAAAATGACCAGGAAATCGACGTACTAATCAACGGTAAACACGCCTTCACCAACTGGCAGAACAACCACAGCTGATACCTTCAGCCAGAAGAAAGCGATGATCCAATGTAAACTTCACGATCTAAGGGATGAATGGTGGAAAAATAAGCGTGTGAAACACAAGATGCATGAATTCCACTAAAACAATGCATGGCCCAACTACTCATAGCGCAGCCCCTCCGCTCATCCGAGGTAACTCCCTAATTAAAGACGAAGAAGGCATCCGTCAGCTCAACCGAAACACCGATGTGAATGTCCTAACTATACCCAGCAGGTCCCTCAGCACCCGGATCCGACCCAACTCGACTCTCCTCCATCCCGTGACGAGGTAGTTACTGCTATCAAGCAGATGAAAAATAACAAAGACACAGGGTCCGACGGAATCCCAGTCAAGGTGTATAAAGCAGGAGGACCTCTGCTTACCAGCCGTCTCAACGCTCTCTCTCTTGGAGAATATATGGGAGGAGAAAATTCCCCCAAGATCTTAAAGACGTCTCCATCGTCCATATTCATAAGAACAAGGGTGACTGTTCAAACTGTGGCAACAACAGCGGGATCTCGCTGCTGTCCATAGCTGGCAAAATTATCGCTCGAGTCCTCCTAAACAGACTTCTTCCTGAGGCGTCAAACATCCTCCCAGAATCTTAATGTGGCTTTAGACCATCATGTGGCATCACTGATATGATCATTGCTCCCGCCAGATACATGAAAAGTGCAGATAACAGCATCGTGACTTGTACAGTGCCCTCACCGTCCATACTAAGGCCTTTGACTCGGTCAAGAGGGAAGCCTTCTGGCGGACCCTCAGTCGTTTTGGTTGCCCACCAAATTTGTTGTCATTATTCGGCAACTCCTCGATGGAATCAACTGAAGTGTTCTACACAATGGCACCTAGTCTTAGTTCTTCCCCCATCCAAACAGGGGTAAAACAAGGATGTGTACCGACACCAACTCTCTTTTCCATTTTCTTGGCTGCCTTCCTTACTCGTGTCAGTGCTAATTTAGCCGGCGGGGTGGACATCCAATACCGGATGAAAAGACTTTTCAGCATAAGACGACTCCAGGCAGGAACAAAGTGACAGCTGCTTCCATCACTAAACTTCAGTTTGCAGACAACCCCACCCTGGTCACTCACACTGAACGCGACCTACAGGGATCCTGAACACCTACGATGAGTTTGCACACATCGACCTTGAGGGGAACATATGCAAGACTCAGATTTTCTTTCAGCCTGCCCCTGGTTCAGCCACACCTCCACCATCCATCCAGGTTAACGGTACTACCCTCTCTAATGATAACCATTTTCAGTACTTTGGCCAGCACCGCATATCGATGAAAAAATTCAACATCGGATCAGATGTGCGTCCCAAGTCTTTGGTAGAGTCCGTACCCGTGTCTTCAGCTGCAGGGAGCTGAAATTATTTACAAAGCTGCTCGTATATAGAGCAGTGGTTCTCCCTACCCTGCTGTATGGCAGCGAGACATGGGTCACATACAGGAGGCACCTCAAAGCACTTGAGAACTTTCACCAACATTGTCTACATTCCATGCTGGGAAGACAAGAGAAAAACTGCCAGAATTTTTGCCGACACACAACTGTAGGAGCATTGAGGCTACCATTATCCATGAACAACTACGCTGGACTGTTCATGTTACCCACATGGACGACAGTAAACTGCCAAAGCAGCTACCTTTACAGTAACCTAACGAATAGTAAATGTAGCGCTGGCGAGCAACGAGAAAGGTATAAGGATAGTCTAGACTCAAGAGTGGTCTAGACAAACCTGAAAAGTGCCAAATTGACCCCCTCACCTAGGAGACGATCACTCCATACTGTAATGATAGGAGGAGCACCACACGAGAAAGGTGTCAATACTATCGAGTTTGCCCAACTGCATACCGAGGCACACAAGCGCCAGCACCGGAAAGACGCTACCGCCGCCCCTCCCGCACTAGATGTAGCCCTCCACACGTGCAACATCTGTGAACGGCCCTGTTGATCCCGTCTCGACCTCTTTAGTCACCTCAGAGCTCACCAACGAAGGTAACATCATTAATAACTCATATCATTGTATCCTAGCTGGATGATCATCATACTCGATTCCGAGTGACAGCAAAGTAGTCGTAGTGTGTGTGGTATCGGACGCAATACACACAACACGGCTATCATATTTGTCAACAACATGGAGAGAGTTTTCAAGATGTGTGTTTACCATTACCGCCAACTGGCATCTCGCTGTAAATCGTGAGGTATAGGGACGCATTATACTGTGTGTGACGCTACGTCTGCCGTGTAAACTGAGGCTGGGAATATCTCCGTAAGGCATGATAATTAACCTGCTTTGACATTTACCCCTTCAGTATGAAGACTTAACCCCTCAAGTATAATGAGTTGACTCCTTGAGTATGACGATGTAACCCCTTGAGCATGATAGTTTAACCCCTGAGAATGATGACTTAACCCCTTGAGTATGAAGACTTAACCCCTTGAATATGAAGATTTAACCCCTTGAGTATGACGATTTCACCCATAAAATTCATATAATAAATTACTATTACACACTCAGTGACGCTTTAAAATGTATAATAATCCAATAAACATTTTATTCCCCAAAAATCACAATATTAAACCGAGCTAAAAAACACACAAAATATTTAAACGCTTTTCCAATGTTTTAACTTTTCCTCAGTAAACACGGAGTAACATACTGTCGGGATCCTGACGATAATAATCAGTTCGCTCACCAACTTACATTATCATCCATTTTCCAGGACAAACATCTACGTTACGAAGAGATAAACAAACACATTACAATAAACACAAACATTTAATAACCAAACACACTCTACTACTATATACGACCAAAACAACATTGTTTTTAACATATACAAACAAAAACATTTTCCATTTTATATCGTTTATATAGAGGCTTACCTGTCGCCCGTTTAAACAAAGAATTATCTTAAATAACATTATATATTCGGGTTTACAATAACAATTCGGCCGCAGCGTGTTTTAGTCAGGGTAAAAATACACAAACTTATCTGAATATCGAACACTTTGTATCGCTTTATATTCCATTTGAGGGAGGGAGGGAGGGAGGGAGGAGGAGGAGGAGGAGTCTGTGTTATTGTCATCTAAATCATTATCGTGCATTGTTTTGTTGAACAGGTTGAATTATTATTATTATTATTATTATTATTATTATTATTATTATTATTATTATTATTATTATTATTATTATTATTATTATTATTATTATTATTATTATTATTATTATTATTATTACTACTACTGTTGTTGCGTAAAGTGTTCAACTGAGTAACGAGTGTACAATATTTGCATTATCAGTCTGGCTCTCTCTCTCTAAGTCTATGCTTATCTACTCTTTCCTTCCCTGTCTATATCTTATTTCACACTCTGTCCATCCGCCGTCTCCCTCTTCTGTGCGTCTATCTATCTGTCTTATCGTCTCTCCCTTTTTTCCTCACTCACCCTCCCCCCCCTCCCTATCTCAATGCATTAAGCCAGGACCTTCCAGCCAACTCGTTGTTGCACGAACTCAATTAACACCTGTGCGGGACTAATTACACCTCAGAAATTAGAATCATCTTTATGAAATAACTTCTTTTACACACACACACATACTACTACTACTACTACTACTACTTCGCTGTCACTCGGAATCGAGTATGACGATCATCCAGCTATGATGGTGAGTTCTGAGGTGATTAAAGAGGCCGATACGGGACCGGCAGGGTCGATCACAGATGTTCCACATGTGGGGGCTACATCTAGTGTGGGAGGGGCGGCGGGAGGGGCGGCGGCAGCGTCTTTACGGCGTTGGCGCTTGTCTGCCTCGTTATGCAGTCGGGCAAAATCTAAAGTATTGACACCTTCTTGTCTGGTGCTCCTCCAGGTGTTACGGTGTGGAGTAATTGTCTTCCATGTGAGGGGGTCGATTTGGCACTTTTTCAGGTTTGTGTGAAGACTATCCTTATACCTTTTCAGTTGCCCGCCAACGTTACATTTACTATTCGTTAGGTGTATGTAAAGTACCTGCTTTGGAAGTCTACTGTCGTCCAGCGTAGTTGTTCATGGATAATGGTAGTCTCGATGCTTCTACAGTTGGTGTCAGCAAGAATACTGGCATTTGTTTTCTTGTCTTCCCAGCGAACTCGGAGGATGGAACGTAGACTACTTAGGTGAAAGTTTTCAAGTCCCTTGATGTGACTCCTGTATGTGACCCGTGTCTCGCTGCCATATAGCAGGGTGGGGAGGACCACTGCTCGATATACGTGTAACTTTGTAGATCATTTAAGCTCCCGACAGCTGAAGACACGGTTTCGGAGTCTGCCAAAGGCTTGAGATGCACATCTGATCCGATGCTGAATCTCTTCATCGATGTCCGCAATGGTGGACAGGCGGGAGCCAAGATACCGAAAGTGGGTAACATTAGTGAGGGTAGTACCGTTAAGCTGGATGGAAGGTGGAGGTGTGGCTGAACCAGAGGCAGGCTGAAAGAGAATCTGATTCTCACGCACATTCACCTCAAGGCCGAAGTGTGCATAAACATCGGCGTAGGTGTTCAGGATCTCCTGTAGGTCGCGTTTAGTGTGAGCAACAAGGGTGAGGTCGTCTGCATAAGCTGCCGACACCTTTCTTCCTATCTGGAGTCGTCTTATGGTGAAAAGACGCTTCAGCCGGTACCCTAAATGTGCACTGCCACGAGTAAGGAAGGCAGCCAAGAAAATGGAAAAGAGAGTTGGTGTCAGTACACACCCTTGTTTAACCCCCGTTTGGATGGGGAAGAACTCAGACTGGGTGCCATTGTGCAGGACACTGCCGTTCATGCCATGTGGAGTTGCCTCAAAATGGCGATGAATTTTGGTGGGCAGGCAAAACAGATGAGGGTCTACCAGAGGGCTTTCCTGTTGACAGAGTCGAAGGCCTTGGTTAGGTCAATGAAAGCCATGTACAGGTCACGACGCTGTTCTCAGCACTTTCTCTGTATCTGACGGGCAGCAAATATCATGACAGTGTTGCCACGTGATGGTCTAAAGGCACATTGAGATTATGGAAGGAAGATTTCCGCCTCTGTTTAGGAGGACTCGAGCGATAATCTTGCCAGCTACGGACAGCAGCGAGATCCCGCGGTAGTTGCCACAGTCTGACCGGTCTCCCTTTTTCTTATAAATATTGACGATGGAGGTGTCTTTAAGAGCTTGGGGGATTTAGTCCTTTCCCCATATATTCTCCAGGAGAAAGTGGAAATGGTTGGTAAGCAGAGGTTCTCCTGCTTTATACACCTCGGCTGGGATTCCTGAGGCTTTGATTTATTTTATTTTTTTTTTTTCTATGCGGATTAGCCCACCCGGGCACAGGTCATTGACCCACATCGGAGCCTGGGGGGCGAAATGCAACAACAACAACAACAACAACAACAACAACAACAACAACAACAACAACAATAACAATAATAATAATAATAATAATAATAATAATAATAATAATAATAATAATAATAATAATAATAATAATAATAAATACACAAATGAAAAAAAAAGATCAAGAGTGAGAAACAATATATGTATGTTGTGTTGTCAATGGTAAGAGAAACAATTGAGACCCTGTAATTGTGTGTAAATGAGGCAGAAAGTCAGATGAGCAACCTGGGACCTGGTCACAATTTTTGCGATGCCATATGGCAGCAGGGTCTACCATTAGACAACACATTATGCTTCCAATATCTTCCCAGGTGGTAGTACCTCCCTGTTTGGTAGCTGCCTCCTACCTAGTAATTTGATGGCAGCAGCTACCTCATCCAGGGATGGAGGATAGCTGAGGTGGATCAACTCTAGATACTGAGGGACCTGAATGGTAGTGCTCTTTTCAGAGCTGAAAGAGGCCTTTATCCTCTTTAATTATGGAGTTACCGTCGGATGAGCAGAGGGGGGGCTGCGCCACGAGTGATTGGCCCATAAAATGTTTTAGTGGAATTGAAAAAGTCGCGCATCTTGTGCTGATTTGCAAAGTTTTGTGTTTCACATGCTTTATTTTTAAACCAGTCATTCTTTAGATTGCGAAGTTCCCACTGGGCCCGCTTTCTTCTGCAGAAGGTGTCAGCTTTGGTCCGAGACTGAGGGTTGTTCTGCCAGTTAGTTAAAGTAGCAAGTTTATCGTCGACAAGTACATTGACTGCCGGGTCATTTTCATCAAACCATTCCTGGTGTGTTCTTTCGATCTGGCCGAGGGAGTCTTTGCAGGTTTTTGTCATGACTGTCGAGAATATTCCATTCGGCAATGGGATTTGGGTCGTTTGCTGTCGGGTTGAATATCAGCCCATGTACGAGCTGCTCTCTGAAACGTGCTACTGCTGGATCCTCCAGACACTTAGTGTTAAAACCTCTTCTGGAGGCTTGCTGCCTTCACCGTTTTGGAGCGACGTGAAGTGAGAGTTTGGCTATGACGAGCCGATGATCAGTATCGCAGTGGTCTGAGCCATGCATGGCTCGGGTGATGAGGACATCTCGACAATCTCTTTCTTTGACAATGATGTAGTCAATGAGATGCCAGTGTTTGGATCGTGGGTGTTGCCACGAACCCTTGAACTTGTCAGTCCTGCCTAAACAAGGTATTAGTAATAGTGAGGTTGTGTGCAGCACACTTACTGAGGAGGAGTAGGCCGTTGGGATTACATTTGCCTAGTCCATTTCTCCCTATGGTTCCCTGCCAATTGTCAGCATCTCTGCCAACTCTGGCATTGAAGTCATCAAGGAGCACAACCTCATCTTTTCTGGGGATAGAGGTTAGCACTCTGTCGAGGTCATCCTCTGCATCCGGTGTTGGGGCGTATGCACTGATGAAAAGGGCATGGCGTGAGTGATTCAGACGGACTAGGAGCGTCATGAGGCGTTTGTTGATCCCAATAGGCATTTAATAGGCATTTCACTTTGCGTTGGCTGACGGCAAAGACAACTCCATAAATGCGTCTTCGCAGCAGGCTTACCCTTCCAGAAGAAGGTATAGCCAGAACCCCGTTCTGTGAGTTGACCTTCGCCTGGGAGCCGGGACTCACTGATGGCTGTAATGTAGATGTTATATGAAGCCAACTCTTTTGCTACAAGGGCGGTTCTTCTTTCAGTTTGGATCTGTGATTTTGATTGTGTTTTCGACCGCATAAGAATGACCTTACTGGGTGCGATTGCCCAGTCAGGTTGTTTTTTTAGGCAGGCTATGTTTAGGGCACCTTTTCTAGCCCCCTACCGATGTGGGGTGAGCAGTGTGGCTCCTCGAAAGGGCTGCTCAGTTGCACAGACAGGACTGGAGTGCACTGTTGCCTAGATACCAGTGCATAAGCGACCATCTTATCTGTGCCGCCCATGAGCAGAGTTGTGACTAGAGACTCCCGGCAGTCATCTCTACCTGTCCCCATCACCACTCGTCCGTCGCCATAGGACTTTTGGGGGTTTAGGGGTTTTGATGATGAGAGGTATGAAGAGCTGGATGATGGCTGTGCGTGAGTTGATTTATGTGGTGAGGTAGGACCGCAGGCTGCAACCACACATCTTGGCTCTCCTTTTTCCTGATCCAGTGGTGCAGGTGTTGCAACGACTGGGGAGAGGGAGAGTTGCAATGGACTGCCGATAGCCCAGTTTGTTGGGTTTTGCCTTAGTAGCCTGTTCATCATGCATTGCCTTCGTCTGCTGGTGTAGCTGTTGGGTTCCCATGGTGGTCACCTCTTCCGCCTATACTGCCGTTGGGGTTTTGTTGGAGCTCTGTAAGCATGTCTGCCTGATGCTGGGCTCCACCGCAGATTTTTCTCTCGGGGTTTACTCCCGTAGCCTTATACCTACTAAGGTTAATCCGCAAGGCAGCAGGGCATTGGTTGGTAGGTGCCAGAACGTGTTCACATGCCAGTGGACCTATGCACCGTCCCTCTGGGGCCCACTGTTACTCCGAGATCCCCTGCTGGTTTAGCCTGGGCCCACGAGGCACCCAGTTACCGTGTGTTGCCACGAGGAGGCACAGCAGAGTCTTGATGGTGAAAAAGCTGTGTACTGGCTGGGGAAGACTAAGGCAAGTTGCTTCCCTGTTCGCCACGAGGGCTAGCCAGCGGCGGCAACTGAAAGCGAGAGGGAGCAAGCAGTGCTTGTACCTTAACACTAACATAATGCTGCCGCACTAAGCGCATTTCACCACCCTGTGCGCACGCACGCACGCACGCACACACACACACGGCGTCAACAGGTGCGTCTTCACAATGACAAGAAGAAGTTGGCTAATTAAGGCTACCTGGTGGTCTTGGTAATTAATAAACGCGTGCGAATATATTAATTAGTATCGTCAATAACTGTTCAGGTACGGGAAAGACGGTAATAGCGTAGGTATATTTAGAGGTGCACATGTAAAGACAGTTACTAGTGGTAAAGGTACAGATGCAGGTAAAAGTACAGGTGCAGATACAAATACAATACAGGTTACATATACAGGTACAGTACAGTACACGAGTTTAATTATCTTCCTTTATTTTAATTATCGAGTCACTGGAAACCTGAATTAATAACACGTGGTCGTCACTCTCATATCACTGTACCTGAGGGCCCGCCGTCTACCATAGGCTTAGGGAGAACTGTGTAGGCCTAAAGCAATAAACACCTCAAGTGACTGAGGGTCATGTAGGTACGACAAAAACAACAAGAAACAAAGACAATTAAGAATGAGCATCTAGAAAAGAACAAAATATAACAAGTAACATGGACAAAACAAAAAAATCTTAGAACAAAAACAAGACGAGCAAGAAAGGCCCCAAACAACAACATAAACAACAATGTAACGAAGAAAACAATCACAGAACAACAACAGCTCATCGACAAGGATGGGGCAGGGAGTGAGGGCGAGGTAGTGAGGGCGAGGTAAGGAATGAGAGTGAGGCCGATACAGTAAGGGTGAGGGGTGGACAGTAAGGGTGAGGGCGAGAGAGTAAGGGTGAGGGGTGGACAGTAAGGGACAGGGTAAGACAGTTAAGAGTGAGGGCGAGAGAGTAAGGGTAATGGCGGGAGTAAGGGTGAGGGCTGGACAGTCGGGGTGAGGGCGGGTGTAAGGGTGAGGGCGGGAGTAAGGGTGAGGGCGGGCCTAGGGAGGTTATGTCAGAGACAGTGAGGGGTGACTCACGCCCCGTGATGGCCAGTTTGAGGCTGTGAATAAGGTCCTATTTTAGTGGTGCCGTACCTTTTAAGGAGTTTCTTAACACACACACACACACACACACACCACCCGGTGTCCCCATGACTACGTGAGGTCCTTCATATCAACACCCGAGGACGAGTTACTGCACCACATGAACACCACACCACGTGAACACCACACCACCCGGTGTCCCCATGACCACGTGAGGTCCTTCATATCAACACCCGAGGACGAGTTACTGCACCACGTGAACACC